GGTGTGTACATATGGAATTAGTTTGGATTGTAAATGTATAGTGAAGTCTATGTGGAGACTTGATGGGTATGGGCCTCCTCAATAAAGTTTTCGAAGCCCATTTTCGGGCTCAGCCCACTAACCGTTTCGGGCCCAACTCAATTCCCAAGGGAAACCCTACCACCATCCACTTTCCCTATCTAGTATAAAAGGGGACCCCTCACCCTATTTTACTCATTGGTTTTTCCCTTTGAGAGAGCACAAGGGTCCCAAGAACACTGTTTTAGGAATCTAACTCAGATCAAATAAGGAAAGAATTTCGGTTGGGCACTCACGCCGAAAATAGTGATAACTTCAGTTCCTTCTCACAGTTCGCAGATCCCCAGCTCCTCATCTTGACCCTAGGGAAACAGGTCCCAACCTCCGATCTCAGATATACCCGACCAGGTTACTCAGTCAGTTGGATACTCAGTTCGTCAAGCACAAGATTTGTCGGTTCATAGGTTCCGAGCTCAAAACTGTCTTTTATATTTATGTTCGATTATCATTGTAATCCATTTCCGAGCATATAATTAATTAACGGGCCGGAATTTTCGAGTCTCTTTACTATTTATAAATGTATTATCGATCTCACGTATCGACAAGACTCTAGTTGGAATTTCGTGCCTCCAAGGGTCTTTCGGATAGCAGTGGTGATAAGGAGGACGAGTGGTTGGGCTGCACTTTTGTTCCACCGTTTACAAAAATTCCTAGCAATGTTCCCCGAGAAATAGACGCAGACAGTTTGACAGCTGTTTTGAAAGGATAAAGAAATATATTAGTGGGTACTATATTGAACTCGGCTTGGGAGTGTTAAAGTAAAGTTGTCGATTATATTACTATGTCATAAGTAGGTGCAAGAACACGTTTTCTTTTGCTATGTTTCCTAGAGCTTCAATTGGGTTCTTCTCTGGTGCATGGGTATGGAGGTTGTCTCCACTTACGTGGCAAATGTGTCCAAGGACATCTACAATATGCAGAAGGATTACACATAATGTATTTCGTAATTCTTTTAAAGGAGCTTATACAGAAGGATTGCACAAAAGGCTTGCCGCGTATGAATTTGCTTACCGAAGAGGTCGGTCTATGTGTCAGCAATGGCAGAAAAGTTACTGTAAAGGCATGGTCTGAAATTTGGGTGGTCTAAATTGTCACCTCAACCATTGTCATCTGGTTGGTGAAGCAGATGCCGTGTTTGTGGTCAGATGTCTTATAACGTGTTTTGCATGGTTTGATCTGTTAAGTTTATAACCTCCAACCTTTGAAAATTCTCTTTTATTCAATAAGTAAAGTAAAACCAGAAGCTTAACTAGTA